TACGAAGCGTGTGGAGCCAATTGCCGCGAAGGAGAACGGTGAGAAGGCGGCGGGGGTGAGCAATGGCGATGTCGCTATGACCGATGCGCCTGCCGAGAAGAAGACGGACGACAAGGAAAAGAACGACAAGAAGACGGACGACAGAGACAGATCACGTGGCACTGCGCCCATTAAGGCTGAGTGAGTTTTCACCAGCGGAGTCCTGAGCATCACTAACCCGAAGACAGGTTTCTGATCCACAAGGAGAACCAGTCAAGGGACCAGGATGAGGTCGTCGATGACGACGACGCTGCTGAGGGCCGGGGTGAGGGTAACGAGCAGAAGGGAGACGCTCGCGACAACCGCGACAAAAAGAAGAAGCGCGAGAAGCGCGAGAAGGGCCAGAACAAGGAGCGCAGCTTCGGCCACTTTGACGACGCACTCCGTCTCTGCAACAGCCGTGCCTACACCTCTGAGTTCTCTCCGCGCGAGTGCAGATTCGGTGACAGATGCAACCTCGTCCACGACCTGCGCAAGTACCTTAAGGAGGGTCGCCGCGAGGATCTCGACACCTTCGAAGGCAAGTGCCCTGTCTTCGAGGAGTGGGGCATCTGCCCCTCCGGCTGGAAGTGTCGTTTCGTCAAGAGCCACATGAAGGAGGTTGAGCACGAAGATGGCCGCAAGGAACTTGTTCTGGTGGAGGAACCCAAGAAGACTACTGGCGATGCCCCCGTCGAAGCTGGACGTGAGGATCTGAGGCCGGGTGTATACAACAACACCGAGAACCAACTCAAGATTGACCTCAGCCGCAAACGCATCGATTTCACCGAGACGGACAAATACATCACTTGGATGAACAAGGACACGAGGTTGGGCGATGAGTTCCACCAGCGCCGCAAGGATCAGAGGATTGGTAACAATGACGACCTGCGTGCGCAGTACGTCGAGCCGCCCCTGAAGCCCTCTGAGAAGCGCAGGCTTTACTTCGGCAAGGAGACGCCCGCCCTAGCGCCCCTGACTACCCAGGGCAACCTTCCCTTCCGTCGACTCTGCGTCGATCTTGGTGCTCAACTGACCTACTCCGAGATGGCTCTGGGCATGCCTCTTGTCCAAGGAGTAAAGAACGACTGGGCCCTCATGAAGGCTCACGAAAGCGAGATCAGCCCGCCCAAGGTCAACCCTGAGAGCGCCAACATTGTGAAGGGCTACGACAACTCCCGCGATCTCAAGTTCGGTGCCCAGATCTCTGGCAACCAGGCCTGGCATTGCGTCAAGTCTGCCGACCTCCTCAGCAGATTCGTCCCTCACCTGCGTCTCATTGATCTAAACTGCGGCTGCCCTATTGACATGATCTACAAGTCTGGCGGTGGCTCTGCTCTTCTGGAGTCCCACGGCAAGCTCGAGCGCATGGTCCGCGGCATGAACACCGTCTCTGGAGAGATCCCCATCACGGTCAAGCTCCGCACCGGTGTCAAGTCCAACCGCCCGACGGCCTCTTCCATTATCGGCAAGCTCGCCTTCGGCTCCCGCGAGAATCGCGAACGTGCAGGTGCTCCTGGTTGCGCCGCTATCACCCTCCACGGCCGCAGCCGTGAGCAGCGCTACACCAAGAAGGCCGACTGGAGCTACATCGCCGAGTGTGCCGTGATGATCAAGGATTACAACGAGCAGAAGGACAAGCTCACCGATACGGCTCGGGAGCCTGACGAATCCACCCTTCCCAACTCCAAGGACGGCCGCATGTTCTTCCTCGGCAACGGTGACTGCTACTCCCACGTCGAGTACTACGAGCACATCGAGAAGGCCAAGGTCGATACTATCATGATCGGTCGCGGCGCCCTCGTCAAGCCGTGGCTGTTTGAGGAGATTGAAAAGGGCCAATACCTCGACAAGTCGGCCACGGAGCGTCTCGCCTACGTCGAGAAGTTCTGCAGATTCGGCATGGAGGCCTGGGGCACGGATGAGCTGGGCATAGGATTCACCCGCCGCTTCCTGCTCGAGTGGCTCTCCTTCGCGCACCGCTACGTTCCTCTCGGTCTGCTGGAGCACCTCCCTCCCGACCTCAACGACCGCCCGCCTGCGTACCACGGACGCAACGATCTGGAGACTCTTCTTGCCAGCAAGAACTACCGCGACTGGATTAAGATCAGGTAAGTTGGCCTTGAACAGTTTTGTTTGTGTATATCTGCTAACGACAGCATCAGTGAAATGTTCCTTGGGCCTGCTCACCCCAACTTCACCTTCCAGCCCAAGCATAAGTCCCACGCCTACGAGGCCGAGGGTTAAGGTGGTGATGATGAGAAGATGATGTAGACACGGGTATAAGCACCAATGGATAAGAGAGACCTTGCTACCTTTGGCTTTTTCTAACGGAGACGACGCATATTCGAGGGCATTGCCAGGTTGGGGAACATCACGAAAACAGAAGTTGATGTACCCCAGAACTAGAATGGGCTAGACAAAATCAAAAGTCATTTCACGATCACAAATGAGGCGTCAAAATGAAGTGTCCTTTTTGACTTAGTAGCGACCCTACTTTTCGTCCCTCGTCCCTGTCGATCACATCCTTGACGTCTTTAATGTTCCTGTCTTCGTTGTCGGCCTTGTTGTCCTCGTTAGTCTCATTCAGATCAGTTGTTCGCTGAGCAGTAGAAGGGTTCCGGTCGGGTCACGAACTTCTGGTCAAACATCGAATAACCCAGGTTCTATTCAGCTTGGGCATAACATGACATATTGCTGCTTCCAGACGTATTTGAAGGCCCTGAAGGAAAAATCTTACGAACAGCCCACCGCAATCCGACTCGGTGTAGGTGGTGTGGTTCTCGTCGTGCGGTCAATCTGCATTCAACAGCTTACGAAACATTTGACCTTCCTCCAGACGAAGCTCATATAAACCTTGCAGCCGACACCGTCTAGTTCGTCTAGTATCCAGCGTGAGTCTGGAATTATTCATTGTAGTATTCGTACAGGAGATGTTATCCACGTTTCCGAGCATAACTTTTAGCCTAGGGGAGTTGGAGAGGGATGCCAAGACCTTAAGCAAATTAATGAACCTTCAAGCAGCCGCAAACTTAGTACTAATTGGATTCCTTTGGCTTAAAGAAAGAAATCGGTCATATGCGATTGATCCTGATACAGAGATTGAGGACCATGGCTACCTCATGTAGATTGTAGTCAATCATGAAGTCTTCCAAGTTACGCTGCCAATCGGACTTTGACTCCTGGGTTTACTATTCATCGCCGTCGCCTATATCAATAGTGATCATCTGCTACCTAGTGGTCTCATATCGATGTCTTTGCTATTTTCGTCGGCAAAGAGAAATCAAAGACCGCATTCAAGTAGTGAGACTGGAAAGGACTGCCCCGTTTGCCGTCTTACGTATCCAGCTTCTCATTGCTAACGTGCCTCGGTGTATCACCCGCATTAACTTTTTCGGCGTCTCACACTACCTTATGGCTCTTTCATGAGGCATTTGTATCAATACTGACTTTTGGGGGATGGTTCAGCTTTTTCGTGTTCCCTTCTTTGCGGCAATCATACTTACTAATTTGGCTATGGCGATGGATCTTGACCCCGACCAAACCTGAAAGATTTACACCTACCGAAATACGGTTCATTGGAAAACATTGATGTCGGTACGTAGCTATTTTTCTATCTGTTAAACACTAGGACAATGATGAAGATGCAACACATCTTGCTATGTAAGATCGTCTCCAGGCCTTTATATTTAAGGATCACACGGCAGCTATCACATTCAGTCACCAATGTCTTTGGATTCTGGATCACTTCTATAAAATAGTGGCTACTTGAGGCACGAGTGATAATGACCAATTTCACTTGCCCAAGCACCGTTGCTCAATTGCAACGTCCCAACATGCTTCATCGCTCTTCAGTGCCGCTGCTAGCTAAGTAAACTGGCCGAATACGCGCGAAAGAGGGCTGAAGCGATAACGACTTGACGATTATACCTCTGACCGCTGTTTCCGAAGTGTAACAGTGGAATTTCACACAAAATTCTGATATAGAAAGGATCAGATGTTCGCTCTTGCTCGGAGGATTTGGTGCGTCTTTCTACAGGTGCATCTCCTACTCGATTCTTTGAACTATTGTCATTCCTTACACGTCTATTGCATCTTGGCTCAAAGCCTAGTGATTGTTTCCAATTTTCAAGAGATGTTCTATTTAAAGCCACATAGCCTTCTTCTTTTCTCTCTCTCTGAGGGCAACAATCATTTCTTCGGACGCCCTTTTCAATCCCCAGATGCAAACTCCCTAGCAGAGAGTCATCCTGGTAAAACATGTATCGATTGGCAGTTTGCTAAAGTAATCTAAGTATATTGCCTAGCATACTGGTTTCCTACTCCTCTAGGTCCCTCGAAGCATTCCTCAGGCACATTAACGACGGAAAAGGCCGCGTATGTTCAATAAACCATGCTGCTGCTACTGTTCTCATGATGACTTCGCTCTCCTAGTAGCTTTGAGATGAGTTGCTGAAGACAAAGCACATTCAGACGCATGATTTCGTCGGTTCCGAGTTTTCACTTACGTTCTAGATGCATGGGTTCATACATCTAAGCCGTTCTTGAGTTTCAGGCAGTAAACGGTCAACTAACACTCACGCACAGTTTATAGCAGTTGTCCTCACGCATCTATCATGTGAGCATTTCCTAACTAGCGCCCAAGAGATGATTTCTAAAACGGAGATCTCACTGAATAGTCGGGTTCTGCATGCCGACATGATTCGTTCCCATCGTGGAGCCGACTTTTGTGATTCTGCTTGTGACCGCCCTCCATCTCTGTCCATATATGTGCTAAATACAAGCAAGCCTCCAATGTGGCGTGGAAGACCCAAGTATAGCCAACTGCCAAGGCGTGGCTATCAAGGTGAGCCCGAAAGGTTCCTGTAACATACAAACTCTACCGGGAAGAACTTCTTTTCGGAACAGAACACACAACACACAACACAAACAGGATACGAAGATCAAGACCACCAACCTTACGCACCTTTCGATCATTAATGATGTGGCTAACAGGATACCCCCCTTCCTCCAAGGAGTATTTCGAAAGCTTCCTTTTGACTGAACCCGGCTCATTCACCGCCTCCGGGATCGAGCCTTGCTTCAACGAGTATGTCGAACGCTTCATGTATCCTGGATTCGGCCAGCACGTGGTGAGCAGTCCGTCGTCATACATCGCCTACGAGATGGAGTATGGCCAAGAGCCGTACACAAAACAGACGTACCCTCTGCCATCCCAATCGACAAGCTACAAGGTCGCCTCGAACGAGGACAACAAAGATTTGGACTGGCCCGAGGGCGTTGACATAGACCCCTTGATAGCGGCGATATATCGCAACGCGATGAAGAGCCCGCTCTGCGGGGAGCCGGGCTCCCCGACCACATCTTGGTCAACATCATGCAGCAAACGGATCTGACCACCGCCTGCCAACTCCGCCGCGCCTCGCGAACATTCATGAGGATCTTCTCTTCGAAGCTGTTCTCCAAATGGCATAGAAACGGCGACGGGTACGGCTTTTTATGGAAATCGCCATTGCAGAGCGTCAGAAGAAGTCACGTTCCAGAGTCTGTATCGGTCGAGTAGGGCACTTACGCTTGTGCGAACACACGACCTTCACATGGGACGATTTCGTGAGAGTGTCTTTGAATGCGTCAATGCCGGCCTCGAGAAGAAAGAGTGTTTCCACCATCACGTGTGACCATGCTAGTCACAAAGAACGGTTTGAAGAGGTGAAGGCGGAATTTCAACACACGAAGGGCAACGCTCCCTGGGCTAGTCAAGTGGCTCTTCTGAAGAGAAGAAGACATTTGCGTTTCCCCAATAGAAAATGCCCGGTCACTGCTGTCGAATTTCGACGCCGGATTGCTGAGCTGCGAGGACTATCATCTTGTTCATGGTACCCTGAAGAAGGCCCCCGACGGTTAGATCCTATGCTATGTTTTGACCCCAACTCTTGTCACTGTCTCCATTACGAAGGTATCGAGAGATACGGGATTCCAGTCCATGACCGAGTGGCGACCAAGAGTGTTGCGAAGCGCCGCCGTAAGTTGTCTAAATATGATATGGGTACCAATGCTAACGGCAGGCTAGATAGTCACAAGTTCTACCGATGGACAACGGACGAAACTGCCTACTTTCAAGCCAGTTTCCGGAACTGCGGATCCCATAAACACTGCTGGGAATTCACCCTTGATCGCACGTTCGATGCGTCGGAGGACTCGGGCCAGTTGAGTCCGTCTAGTCCCCAGTGGTACCTTGCGTTGGATCCTGCATCCTACAACCTGAAAGACGACACTGAATTCAAAGAGATAACCTGGTGCGAAGATCAGGCTTGCCGCAATTATTATGGTCTCCGAGAACATGCTAGCCTTGGAACTACATGCTTGAAGGACCGAGAACTCGTTCAATATAATAAGAAACCCCAATCTAGGGGGCCAGCTTGTAATATGGTCAGTCGACGTGAAGATCAAGCAACTGCCCCGAAGACCCAATTGAATCTATCGTACGGCCGATAAGTACAACGGAGATGCTAAGTGGCGTGAAATGGCAAATCACTTACGCCGTACTGACGGGATGTACGGCTGTGAAAGATGTTCGCACGTTCTCAGCATCACCTGGGTCGAACAGCACAACAACTGCATATAAAAATCAAATCCTGCTATTCACCCGAATAATTATGTTGATCGCCTCTGCTGTGCCATGGCGAACGAATTTTCCTTTCCGCTCGTCGTCGTCGTCTTCGTCGTCTTCGTCATCTTCGTCGTCTTCGTCGTCTTCGTCGTCTTCGTCGTCTTCGTCGTCTTCGTCGTCTTCGTCGTCTTCGTCGTCTTCGTCGTCTTCGTCGTCTTCGTCGTCTTCGTCATCGTCGTTCGGGTACTCACTTGAGACTTGCGTCAAGTCAGAGTCAACAAGAGTCAAGATCGAAACTGCGTCGATCGTGGCGAGGATAACTCTCGAGGACGACCAGAGAATCTCAAAACAACTTGAGAATTTGGAACGTAGTAGGTGTCTTTACACTACTTGCTGTAAGACGGCATGAAACCCGCGATGGGAGGATCATGCCTCTAAGTGTGTCTTCGTGACAGGCTGTTCCCAACCGCCTACCGCCAGTCGCAACTTAAGCCAACTGCGAGAATTTCATGGGCTTGAACAAGATGGGCCCGTTTTACAACCATCACAAATGCGACCACCGTCTTTCCTGTAAAATGAGTAATTTGACCTGATATATAGGTTGCAGATGTAGAGGTTGCCTGGATAGTCATACCGTCCAGACAGCGACGGCCCTTGTCAGGCGTCAACTGCGCATTTCAGGTGATCAATCTACGGCCCAGATAGAATAAACGGGGGCATTTGATCTTGGACTGGATCCAATTGCGTCAAAACTCAAAGCTGATATATAGCTAAAACGCCTCGCCGTGCCGGCGAACCTTCCTAACCTTTACACCAATTGGATCCTCAGAGCTGTCCAGCTCCCGCCCAACCCGCAACTCATCCCCACTGCGTATCAAACTTTATTCCGTAGTCGTCTTCCACCCTAGAAAAAAAAGTCGTCAAGTTGATGTGCACGAAGGCCTATCGCTTACTGTGCCTTCTTGTCACCCTTAGGCTGCGTCTGGCCGTATTGCTCGGAGAGCTCGTCGTAGCTCTTGTGCAGGCCGGCGCTCTGCTTCTTCAGGGTCTCGATGTCACGGTCCTTCCTCTCGAGCTCCTTCTTGAGCTTGGCAATCTCGCCGGCGTCACCAGCAACGGCGAGCTTCTCGCTCTGCTTGGTGTTGCCCTGGGTGCCCTCGTAGCTGCGGACCTTGTCCTCAAGACGCATGACCTCGAGGATCATGACGTAGGTGCGGTTGAGGATCAAGGACAGGAAGAGGGTGAAACCGCAGAGGTACATGTTACGCTGGGAGTAGAACTTGCGGGCTTGCACCTCGAGGCGCTCGTGGCCCATGACGGCGGCTCTGTTTGGAGATATTGTTAGTGAGTCGATTGTCCTGGGGGGTACAGCTTTGAAGGTGGGTATTCCAAGGGATAGATTGTGGGAGGGGGGCAATGATGTACGCACCCGCTGTTCTGCTTCTCGGTAGCAAGCGCCAGCTCGACCTGGACGCGGTAGACGCGGTTGACACTGTCGATGAAGAGAATGAGGATGAAGACAAAGGTGATCTTCATCCAGTACTGGACCTTGGCGACGATGGGGCTCTCGGAGATGAAGCTGCGGAAAGACCGGACGGTTAGCTTCGAGCTCTTTGAGAACGCAGCATGCAGAGCGAGCGGAGGGAGAGCACATACGTAAAGAGTCTACGCTTGATGGCGAAGGGAAGGGGCACGATCAGGAGCATGAACAGGCCCATCTCAGCCATGAGCAGCATAAACACCTAGATCCAGTCAGCGGCGGCTCTCCTCAATTGCCCCTCCCCGGGTGCAGGAGAGGGAGGACGCCAATGCTGTGCACAGCCGAGACGTACGAGAGTGTAGTAGAGAGTCATCTTGACGATGCGGGGAAAGCTTCAGCTTGTGAAAGGTTGGTCGTGAGCTTCCCGTCGAAGTAGGGATTGATGGTTGTAGGAAAGAAACACTCGGAAGCCCAAACTGACTTGACCGACGGTGTTTTTGTGTGTTGAGCTGGCAAAAAAGTTGCGTGGGTATTGGGGATTCGGAGTGCTGTGATTTGTTGCGAGGGAAGCGGCAGGCGGACTTGGGAGGAGCTGGCCTTTTGTACAATGTGCGTGAAAGGTGACGATGGTGGGACTGGATCCGTAAGGTAGAGGTGGCAGGACCACAAAGCGTGCCTGTGTCTGCCAGCAGGTAAGGTACCGGTCTACTTTCCCTACGTGCCTGCCTGCCTATCTTCGTGCGGACGAATACCTACGTAAACGTTACGGGGAGAGCTGAGCAACTGAACCTGGGCGGGTCCCCTCCCTCTGGCTGCGGTGTTCCTGTGTGAGGGACCTACTGCAGCTGGGAGGAAGCTACCGGGTACAGCAAAAAAGACGTAAGTCAACAACGTCATCGGTGGCTCGTGCGTCAACTGGACGGAAGCTGAGGGAAAGCTAAGGGTGCAATCTGCCAGATGCGGCTGCTGCGGCAGCTGCCGCCAGATGGATCCGGGCCTGGCCAGGCTATGTTGTGTGGCCATCCGTAGGAGGACACCCAAATTGACTCCAGTCATCCAATCTGACGTCAATGTCGAGATGGCACGAGGAATGGGATAGGACACACGAATCAGGTTTGGGCACCAAGCCACATCCCGCGGAGCCGCGTTGGTGCTGGTCTGGCCATGTCTGTTCTTCATCCACGCGGAGCATGTGCCTCATCACGGTCTATGTTTTCATGATCATCTTGTGCGAACATATTGTATGCATTCTCTTCGCTATAGACAAAGACTGCTTCGTAGGCATTACCTTGGGTATTCATAGCATACTGAGACCAAAGTAGCCAAGCAGCAGCAAACCGCTCCCAATGCCACGGGATCCAATCGTCAACCTGAACGCCCAGCTTTTAAAGTCCCAAAGGACAAACAACAGTCCCTAAACTGAATGCCAAAATCGTACACTCTTTACAAAGAAAATGAATGGCTTTATAGACGGTTTTTGCGGAGGGACTTGAGATAGTCCCGTGAGAGGCTCTCTGGCGCATACTCACATGAGCAGCTCTCTGTCGCCTAATTGTAGAACACGCTCTTCTGGAAGCTCTCGGGCGACACGTCACCAATCTTTGTCGTGATTTCCGGAGCCTTCTCAGGGACGGGGGCAGCCTTGATCGCGGCCAAGGGCTGTCCAGGTCGCTTAATAACCTCGAGGTAGGTCGAGGGAAGGTAGCCCATGCGGCCGTCGCGAGCGCGACATCTCCACCACTCACTGGGGTTGCCCATGGGGTCGCTCTTGGACAGAACGGCGACAAGTTCGCCCTTGCGCACCTCCATATCCACATCCTTGACGGCGTTGCCGGCTTGGGGCGTGAAATCGTACATTACGCGGCAGTAGTCAAGCTTGGAGGGGTCCAAGGCTTGTTGCTCGCCGGCAAGCGCCATGCGGCGGCGTTCTTCCTCCTCCGCAGATTGGGCCATGGTGTTTATCATCTTGCGCATCAGGTACGGGAGGCCGAACGCAGCAAGAATGAAGAAGAAGAGGGGCTTGCGAGAAGCCTTGGGCGGTCCGAGGGGAGCGCCATCGGGGCCGATGGGCGGTCGGCCTTCAAACTTAGCAAAGGCAGCCGGTGTAAGAGCCGTCGCATCGGCTGGGGGTGGACGGCCGGTAATCTTGGCGATGAGGGTACGGATCCAGCGCATCAGGGTGAAGATGCCCAGAATCGAGCCCAGGGTATCTCTGAGGTTACTAAACTGTTCTGCTACTGAAACCATGGCTGTTTTCTTGTCAGTGACGTGTGCTGTCGATGATCTGATGCTGAAACTTACCGAAAAAGCTGGAGTGTGTAGCCATATACGTGCTCTCCAACATCTGAGCAAAACCGCCAAAGGCGCCGACAATACCCTCCAACATCTGGAACGTAGCCTGAGTGCTGTTGTTGAATCGATTCGTCAAGCTGTTCGGATCGTTGGGGTTTCCGGGCATGCCTCCCATGCCCATCCCCCCCATGCCGCCGTACATGCCTCCTCCGTACATGCCGCCGCCATATCCGCCATACCCTCCGTACATGCCGCCACCGTAGCCGCCGTAGGAACCCATCCTTGAGTACGGGCTGCCGTAAGGCGAAGAGTATCCGCCGCCGTAGGGGCTTGCTGCACCGATACCGGCACCGAGTCCGGTCCGGCTGTATGCCGAGGCGTTCTGGTTGACCGCGGAGGCGAGGGAAGCTGGTCGCTCAGGGACAGTGGGCGCCGACGATGGTGAAGTCGTCGAGGCAATCGAGGCCGCCGGTGTCGGGGTCGCGATGGAAGCAGCTGTAGGAGCTATTGATGAAACCGTTAATAATCTCGATCTAGAGGCTGGATTGGCAATGTTGGTGCTGGTAGACGCACTTGACGCAGCGGTAGTTGCGCCGGCCCGTTCCCAAGGCTTTGGTGGTGATGCCATTTTCTTGTTTCACGATAAGGAAGAAGTTTTCCTTACAGTCGTTGGTGTCGCTCGGCGTTATCTCGCAATCTACCGGTCGGGGTTGGCTGGTGGCGACGTTGCCGTCTGCTGCTTTGTTTTTCTCTTAATCAAGCACCGGAAATGCGACGGAGGATGGCTTTTCGCAGCCAGGTCGGATGGAAGATGGCAATCGACCTCGATCAGCTGCGATGTCGAAAGACGATTCGACGACGTTGGCGATGGCAGGAGCGGAGGAGAGGGGAAGGCAAAGTCGGGGTAGAAGAAAGGAAGAGAGTCGCTGGGATGACGGACGCGGATTGGGCTGATAGTGCAGCAGACCTGAGTAATGGGGGTCAGTCGGCGGACGGGGTCGGGGACGCAGCCGTGCGTGCAGTTGCCAGTCGCAAATGCTGGCGGCAAGTGACCCGGGGCCTGTGCTTGGCGTTTACACTGAAAATGTGGAGAGGAAATGCGAAGGGCGAGGGTACTAAAGGTAAAAAAACATGGGGTCGGGGGTCAAGTTCCATTTGCCTCGGTATATCGGCCGGCGGCCTAGGCCTGGCTTACGCTGCTTCGTTGCCGCTGCTGCGCCGCCTCAAGAACCAGGCCTCGGCATCTTTCATCAGATCGCAAACATTGTCATTCAGGGTCTTGAACCGTTCTGGCGGTTTCGGACACAGGTCGTCTTTTTGTGCACCGAAGGCTATTCGTTGCGAGACCCCCAAATTTTTGTGCTAGAGTGTCAACTTTCCCTCGCTATCGTCGTTCCCGCCGCCGTCGTCCGCTGTCGTCGTCTCTAATCGTCTCGCTCGTTGTCACTGTCGTCGCTCCGACTACCGTTATCGTCGTCTCTAATAACTATGATTTGTAGTCGTTCTTGATCGAAGTAAAGCTTCAAATCCACGGGTATTGACTACATCGGAAACATAGCCGTGCAGACACGGAAATTTGTGGTCCTCTGCTCGGTGACTTGCAGCGAAATCCCCAGATCCGCATTAGCTACACGCGGCCACCAATGACGCTGCAAAAGCGTGTCGTGCGTCGCCAGCAAACCGACCCTCTTTGCAACGAAGCACAATACAACATGTTTGTCACGATTTAAATTGTCTAGACCAACTGAGTCATCAAGGGTTCAGAAATCACAAGCTTCAGTTTCTATCGTCCTATCACGTTTCTTATTTCTCACCTCCCACGCTCACTGCAGCCCGGCAAAAGCCTTGGCGTTCTTCACGTGCTCTTCCCACGTAGTCAGCTTGTCCTCGACAATGGCGTGCGACTCATCCAGCTTCTCGCCGCCGTAGTATCCAAACTCATCCAACAGCCTCATGTTCTGCAGCATCTCCTCCGCCACGAAGTCGGGCATGCCCTGGCCCTTGAGCGCCCCGCGGAACTGGTCGTGCGTGAGCTGGTTGTACTTGGCCGTCTTGCCGGCCTCGGGGTACACCTTCTTGAACACCTCGACCGTCTCGCCGGCGGTCACGTACGCCGTCGCACCGAGCACGCGCTTGCCGAGGACCTTGTCGCGGTTCAGAACGATGCCCTTGACGAACTTGCCGGTGTCGGCCACCGTGTCGAAGAGCGGGATCGGCGCGGACGCCGGGATGGGCAGGTTCACGGCCCATGCGTTGTCCGGAGGAGTCTGGCGGAACATGCCGCCGGGGAAGTTGGACATGTAGAGGCCGGGGAGGAAGAAGGTCGAGGGCAGGGAGAGAGTTCGGATGTATTCCTCGACAGCAGCCTTGCTGTCAAAGTGGTACACGTCTGGGAGAACGCCCTTGGAGACTGTCAAGGGTGTGTTAGTGAGTTGTGTTGTGCCATGATGTGGAAGCTAACAAACTTACGCTTGTTGATGTCGAGCAGAGAGCTGAAGATGAAGTGCTGGACGCCGGCCTCCTGCGCAGCGTCCGCAATGTTCTTGCCCTGCTGAATTTCCAAGTCTGTCTCCGTTATCAGAAAGTGGCGTCTCGCAAGACGATTCAGTAAACTCACCCTTGTCCAGCTTGTCCCAGTAGTTGGTCACCGCGAAGACGGCAGTGGCACCCTTGACAGCAGCTGCCAACGACGCCTTGTCTCCAAGATCGGCCTGAGTGGTGGACGGTTAGCTTTTTGCCTCGTAAATCGTTGTGTATGGTAGGAATAGTCGAGATAACTTACACTGACAACCTCGACGCCCTTGGACGCCAAAGCCTTGGAAGATTCCTTGGTGGTGTCACGGGTGACGCCGCGGACTGCCCACTCTGCCTTGAGCTTAGGGTCGTTGAGGAAGATGTTGACGACGCTGCCACCCTGGGCACCAGTCGCTCCGAACACCGTGATGATCTTCTTGGACATTGTTGATTCTGATATGCGTATCTTCTATGCGTGGAGTAGTTTTCGTGGTTGGAATAGGTTGGATCGAAGCTTGCGCTAGATGCGTTATCAAGTCAGGATGGGGAACCTCCGGTACTTGTACGACGATGGAGTTCGGACGGACCTGAGTGCTTCTATGCGTGGAACGTCTCACAATTCGATATCTGAGTGCCGATTGGGAACAAGATCGTAAGACAATGGTATTTGAATTGTTTGCTGATGCTCTTCCTCTTCGTCGTCATTGAGGGGCAGCGTCGTCCAAGCTTAATATACCCCTCGTCCAAGCACTCCAGCCTGCTTGCTTGCCAAGCACACACAGTCTAAGACATCGCGGTGCCACAACCGCAGTAGACGCATCTCGACATAAACTACCGAAACAGGCAAAGGCACTGGCGCAAGAGAGGCCACTCACGCTCCATCGCCCAGAAGAAAGTTCCGACCAATACTGCAGACCCCGCGCCGCAGAGGTGCTGCGTGGCTGTTGCCCGCGAGCTTACTTACATGGTGGAGGTGCGTGTTGACCTAAGCAGACACTAAGCAGCGACGGACTGCCCTCCGACACCCGAAAAGTCCGTCCGTCTGGAGCTGCACCTCGACGTTCCCGCACTTGGTCGGGCACCGGGGGACTCGTGGTGCTTATTCATGGCGCATGCTCTGTACAACGGTGAAATCAACCGCGCGCTACGCTGGTTGGCGTGCCGCTGATCTTGGTCCAAGTAGAGCTTACCAATCGAACCAACATTAAACCACGAGCTTCCCGCGGTCTCCACCTGTACAGACGCGAGGCGCGAAACCCCGAATACAACACCATGGAAAATTGGCAATCATTGAAAACAATTTCTCGGAGAAAACTTCAGAAGCTGGAACTTTCTTTGCGTTGCAAGCCGATGATGTGAACCTCTATCTTGGCGATGTCACTTGTCACAGTCGGGTAATTGGTTAGCTCGGACTTCCGATCACGTCCGCAATCGCGAGCGCGAACCGCCTCTTGGCCTCGACCAAGAAAAAATGCTCCAACATCGATAGAACATTCATCAACATGTGCATTCTATGCAGTAGGTGGAAGTGTTTGTGGGAAACCTGGTTTGCAGTCCTCCGCAACCTACGATGTGCGCCCTCAGAGAGCAGGCTGGTCGTAGGATCAGGAGGCGCTTCAGCCTGCGCATACTACACCGTGAAAAGGCATCTTCCGACGTCTCGCGTCTGACGTGGTTGTTTGGTGAAAAGCCACAAAGCTTGTGCCCTTGTAGCACCAAGATAGATGGCTTCTTCCACAGAGGGAATTGCCGATATAGTCGCGTTACTGTAGGAATAATGGCCTTCTCTCACCAAAACATCACAACGAGGGGCAACACATCACACGAACTGAACTTGTTTGAACTTTCGTATTGATTCCAAATCATCCTAACTGCTTGCAGAGAAGGACAAAAATGCATCCTTTCTCTAATCATGCCCCATCCCTAAAATCAAAAAGGCGCACTTTTCCGGGGCCGGGTATCATCTTGGACGCCGTCTAAGAGTCATTTCGTTTTGCAATCCCCGCCTGCCTCCCAATGCGAGGCATCTTTGCTGTTCATCCCCGAATAAGGTATCAAAAGAAGTGAAAAAAAAAAAGGCGTCGTTAAGTCATCAGATACCATGATCCAATGCAAGCAAGACTTGCTCAACTCGGCGAGCCAGAAGAAGAGAAATTTCGTCGAAAAGGGGTGTCGAAAAAACAAGGCCGTCCCACTCCCATATATGCAATCGTTGACCTCCCAAAATCTCATTCAAAACTTGGCGCTGTCCGCTTAGCTGGAGAGAGCGAACAAGCTGACCTTGTTGTTGCCGCTCGTGGAGGCGATGGAGGTAGTAGAGAGCCAGCCCTCAACCTGCTCGCGGGTGAGACCGGCAGAGAAGTCGACGCTGCTGTCGAGGACCTTGACAGAGACCTGGCCGGAGTCGCCGTCGAGAACAGTCGCAACCTTGATAGGCTCGCCGGTGGGGCGGTCAAAGTAGTCGGAAGAGCCACCAGGGACGTTGGAGTGGAAGGTGGACTTGCACTTGGTGTCGCCAGCAGCGAGAACCTCGAAGATGTCAAGCTCACCACACGCGGGCCAGCAAGAGCAGGAGTTGTACTGGGCGGTGCGGGGGATCTTGGCGTTCAGGAACCAGAGGGCCGGCATGTCGGCGTTGAAACCGGCAGTACCGTCCATGGGCATGTTGAACTCGAAGAGCCAGACAGAGTCCTCACCCTTGAAGCCGTGGTAGGCAACGGAGCCTGGGCGGTAGTATCCGCAGCTGCCGTCGGTGCACTCCTTGTCGCTGTAGATGGCGAACTCCTTGTTGGAGGGGAGGTAGACGGGGTTCAGGACCTCGGGAGAAGCAGCGCCACCGCTGGCATCAGAGTTGAGGTACGACAAAGAGTTGCCGAAGACGTTGTCGAACTTGCCAGAGCCCTGACCACCGTAGTTGCCGAGGAAGACGAGGCCGTCAGCGACACCCTGGTCGGCGTTGTAGTAGGCAACACGGCTGTATTCGCCGCTGGAGCTTCCGGTGGAGGTGCTGGCCTTGCTGGGGCTGGCCTTGCTGGAGCTGGAGGGCTTGGAGGCGGCGGCGGCAGCAACAACAGGAGGCTGAGAGACGGCAGCAGGAGTAGGAGTAGGCGCCACGATGGGAGCAACAGCCGGAGTGTTGGCCACAGGGGCAACGTTCGGGGTGGCGGCTGGGTTCCAGTTGTTGATCCAGGACTGGACAATGCCGTCGATGGTAGCAGTGACCCAGACATTGCCGCGCTTCTCCTCCTTGTTGTCATGAGCCTCAGCATGCTTCTTATGCAAGTGGTGGTGACCGTGACGGCGGGCGTGAGTGTGAGACACAGCGGGAGACCGCTTGGCGCTGGACTTGAGGTTGTACACAGCAACTTGCTTGAGGTTCATGGGACCACGGAAGAGAGGGGTGAGCTGCGGTAAATGTTAGTACCTTTGTGCAATGAATTATTTTGAAAGGTTGGAAAGAAACTCACTTCCTCATTGAAGGGGGCTAAGGGACCAGAGAAGGCGACATCCTCAAAGCTGCAAGAGCCATCTTCGCCCATGTTAGACACAGCCTTGTAAGTGCCAGGGTGGCCGACGTTGGAGTAGAGGATCTGTTCCACAACGCCGCACCACCAGTTACCACCCTCCTCGGTGGCAGTACCAGAGGAGCACTGCTGGAGAGCCTGCGCAACAGAGGCCGAAGCCAGGAGAACGGCAGTAGAAGGCTTCATGGTTGTTCGTAAGACGTTCTTTGGAATGAGCGTTGGGTCTTGAGATTGCTAGGAGATTGCGTTCGTTCCTTGGGTATTTGACCGGCCTCAAAGAGAATCGCAACTGGCGGGTAAGAATGTTTCTGGAATCTTTTGAGGGTTGTTCGATGGCCCAGGCTGTTCTTTGACTCAACCAGGAGGCTTGTGACTGGGTGGTGTTGGAATGTGAAGTACTCAGTGAACCCTGTTCAACGGTGTGGTGTGGGATGTGAATCAACGAAGCGTTGGTGCGTCCAAAAAAGGAATGTCTGGTGACTGTGTAAGTCTCCAAAAAAGGAAGGGCTATGCTATTCAGTGTCCGGCAGGTCGGAACAGTGCACCAACTTTGTAGTTGATCGTGAGGATGGAAGAAGGAGAACCAAGAGGAGGTGGGTGAGGGCAGGCGGGAAGGTTAAGTAAATAAATTGGCCGAAGGAGAGGAGCAAGAGAGAAGGATTATCTCGGGGGACAAGGTTAATGGAGGTGTGGGATGTAGTGCTCCATCTGGGAAGGCAAGCAAAGAGGAGACCGGTCCCGTAAGGCAGGAAGCAAGAAGCAACGACCAGGTGGACTTGCCCCAGTGGGAGGCAGGAACCAACAGGGGCAGGAGCGAGGCAGGAGCAGGAGTCAAGAAGCACCTTCCCAAGTGAATGGAGTGCAGCTCTACGGATACGGATACTGCCACCCCCTCCTTCCCTCCTTCCTTCCTCTCGAGTGCATTCAACTGCGACGTGTGGGTTGCTTCCTGCAAAAGAAGGGGCCAAGAACACGAAGAGAGAGGCAAAAAAGCCGTTGGATAATTGGACGAACAGGGAAACAGAACAGAGTTGGCCAATCCGCTTGTTAGGTTCAGTTGAAACAACGGCTCGGCCGCTCATGGGGGTTGTACCTTGCAGCGCCTGGAGGTCTGGGCAGGGGGGGCTGAGTTAGTTGCACCTCTCCCACTCACCGTGTCACCCAACTCGCTCTCGACTCGAGGTACATGCTCCTCCTCTCTTCTATCACCGCTCCCTTCGTACCTCCGATGCAGTCACCGAAGCGGCCACCACACTCGGCCTCCAGAGGTGAGCGAGTCGAGAGCAGCCCACCGGCTGCGCCAAGAGCCAAGTCGACTCGCCCTGCTCTCATCGTCCAGGCCCCAATAGCATGGCCAACCACCGACTGGCACGAAAGCTGGGCTTCCTCGGCGTTCTGGGCTCTAATCTCAACCTAAATGAGAGACCAGCTGGCTCTCCTGCACCATCATGACTACGTTTCTGTCATTACTTCGCTGCCCTTGGGAAAAAAGGGCAGCCTCGAAAATGACATCCGGGGCAACCAAGAGACCAGCTGGCTGTCCAACACAGCAACGAGACGAACCGCCGCTGACCCAAAAATATAGGGCGAGACCGGTCGAGCTGGATCGGCGGACCAACGTGCAAAACGGTCTACAGCAACAGCTTCACTGGCTGTTGCCTAGGGTCAAACTGCGCTCGCGAATCGCACAATGCTCAGACAACGGCCTCCGCATCTACCCTGGTGGCTGGTGGGATTCTGCACCAGAAGACTTGGGGTCCGGTGCGGATCTATTCTTGATATCGACACAAAGAAGATTGCGACAGAGCAGAACTACTGGAAACCACAGTCTGGCGCCTTGGCTTGCCGTCTTCTTCAGGCGGTCCAAGAAATGAGCCAGCGCCAGAATAAGGCCTGTGAGGTGCCAAACAGCGCTCTCGGG